TAACCCAATGGCTGGGTTTGTCCATATTTGACCCAAAATTGGGTTAAAACAACCCAGGGAATGTTGTGTAGGAATGAAGAATGGAAAAATCAAGTGATGTAGTTATTAAAATGTAGAAAAATGCATAATTGAACATTGGCTAATGGAAAGCTATTAAACTGAACAGTTTGCTTTATGAACCTAAATGAACACACACACACAGAACAAGATATTTTTTAACAATATATAGTTTCACTTTCATACCATTTTACACTACCGTACAAATTTTGGGGTTTGGTAAGATATCTGATAAAATACAGTTAAAAAAAAACAGTAATTTTGTAAAATATTATTGCAATTTAAAATAACCATTTTCAATTTTAATAAAAGTTGGATAATATATGAAAGTTGTACAGCTTTATTTTTGTGAAAACAGTGATGCATTTTTTAGGTTTTTTGATTAAAGTCCCCTTGTGGTGAAAATTAAGCTTTTCATACATTTAACATTTATTCATTTATTTTAAACAAAACGACTTACGATTGCTATATATGTCAGAGGTCGCACACCTCTGGAGCAACTAAGTGTCTTGCTCAGGGACACATTGGTGTCTCACAGTGGATTCAAACTCGGGTCTCTCACACCAAAGGCATGTGTCTTATCCACTGCGCCATCACCACCCCAAAAATATTCATGAACCAAAAATATTCGCCTTTAACTTTTCATGTTAAAGACAATCCATGAGCAAATTCACAAAGTAGTGAACCAAAGACAGTCTCAAAATCGCAGTTTGGTGTTTCTGACGTCACAAACAACCTTGTAACCAATCAGATCAACATGTGATCGTCAACGAGTGGCTCTCTGAGCTGGTGTGAGTAAGTAGAGGCGGGGCTAATTTGCATATTCATAGAACCGCATACACTCAATGAGGCACAGGTGTAGAGTTACATTCAAGATATTTTAAGGCACGAATCTTTTTTTTTTCAAGGGAATGAAACATTTAAATAAGTAATTTTGGTGATCAAATATGAATTTTGAGAGATTAAATGATTAACCACAGGGGGACTTTAATAGAAAAACTGCATTTATTTCAAATGGAAACATTATATCTACTGTATGTATAAATGTCTGCCGCGTTCGACCAATTGAGCAGTGTTTGCTGAATAAACTTGTTTTGTTTTTTTTAAACGTGCAAAAGCAATGTACGTACTAGCATATCAATCGGCCTGCTAGTTAGCAAACCCTAAAATGACTTGCATAAACCCATCAAAAAATGTGCCTTTCAGAGCCATTTAAACTATAAATCCACCATAAAGGGCATAAAATGCCAGCTCTCAGCAAATCAATCCAATCTTGAGCTTTCATTACTAGTAAAATAATTATCTTTGCCTAAAGGGTTAAATTAAAACTGTTAGAAATTCTTCCGGACAGTTAATGGACGCTAGGTCTCGCCAGCAGGTGCTGTGATGTCAGGCGGTCTTTAATCAGGGCAGATTAACCTTTCTGTAACCCGCAGAACTGATACTCAAATACATTTTCATTCGCTTCAGGGGGAAAAGAAGACGTGCTTTGACCTTTTATTTAAGTGTTAGTAATCTAACGCTTCTAAACGACCGTATTCATGCTCGCCGGCCCTTCCTGTGCTGTGTGTGCATTGAGACGGAGAAGCCGAGATAAAGAGACGCACCGTCTAGAAGACTTATTCAGGTGTAGTACAGCATGGTAATACTAACTCGTCGAGTCCATTTTCATAATCAAATAAAGAGAATCCTATCAGACAAATTGAATACTGGCAGCAATAGAGCTGTGTGTTCAGCGTTCATTTTCAGAAGAATACACTTCACTTCACAGGCCAAAGAGTATAATTTTGTTGCCGTTGTCGGACTGCTGCAATAAAGATAAAGCAAAGTGAACACTCGGGAGAGAAAAATGTCACAGAAAAAGGCTGGTGTCAAACAGAAATGCAAACATTTAAATGCGAAGGATTACGCATGTCATCCGAGGCTGTGAGATTTCACGCTGTATTAGGCATCGGGTGCCATTTGAAACAAAGCTTGCTCCGAAAAGGTCTTCCGTCTATTACGTGCATTCAGAGGAGATCGCTGTAATCTTAAATACACACAATCATGTCAGTCTAGGCATACAAACACACGCAACATGACTATAATGACCAGACGTCGCTTCTAAACAAGCTTAGAAGACTATAGTTTACCCAAAAGATGAACATTTTCAGAGTTGCATGGCTTTCTTCCTGTCGTCTGTCGAACACAAAAAGCTGCATTCTTCTCCATGCTGTTACAATGAAGGGTGACTAAGGCTTTCGAGCTATAAAAAGGACAATAAAGCACCACAAACGCACTATGACGTGGCCTTTATGAATTGTGTCTATTATAAAATGAATTACAAATAAACAAATTCAAAAGCTCCTCATCTGCCCTAGTTCTCAAGAACAAATCATTCTTTTTATTCTTCATAATAAATTGGTCAATCCAGCTTGCAGAAGTGGTCTGGATGATGTGCGTTTTGATCTGCGCTGATGATACTGAACGGCCCACTTGGGGGGACGATTAACTTTGTGCAAATTGTCTTAACCATTTTTATGATGATTTAATGGTGTTAAAGCTTGAAAGCCTCTGTTTTTCTTCATTTAATAACTTATTTTGTGTTCCACGAGTCAAGTCAGTCACTGATTTGGAACAACAAGAGGATAAGAGAACGATGACAGATCTTTCCTTTTTGGGTGAACTCTTTTTAATACTACCCGTGGTTTAAGCAACAGTATCCCGTCACGCTTCCTGCAGCCGAGAGTGTGTGAGAGAATAGTAATGTTTCATATCAGTGTCAGAAAACCCTGTATTATGCCACATCACTCAGCTCTCTGCACAAGTTTACTGTCTCTGGCAATATCAATCTCTCTCAGTCTCTGTTAGCAAACCGATCCTTTTAGTTTTTGTGCGAGCGAAATGACTCACACATTCCGTCTCTTCCTCAAAACACTTCCCACTGCGGTGCACCTCGAAACCTCTCGCTCATTCCCATTTCAATTCCACATCAAAGAGGCGAATCAATGCAACAGCGCCCATCATCACAACCTCAACCTCGTGGTTTTATCATGTATTCTTATTCCTTCCCTTTCTCTCTCTCTCAACATGCACGTTTTTTTTTTCTTTCAAGGAGGTTTTTGTTCTGTTGCATGCACACACACACAAAAAGAATGCTCATGTGTGCTTGCATTTAATTTCTCTGTAAACTTTAACATTGATTTTCTCCTTTTAAAGTTCAGCCTTGTGGGTCGGGTATATTCAGAGATGGCTATAGATATAGGGGGAAATTTAATATATATCACATGCTCTGATATGTGTGTATGCATGCATGCATGCATGGATGGATGGATGCATGCATGGATGGATGGATGGATGGATGGATGGATGGATGCACAAATGGATGGATGCATGGATGGACGGACAGATGGACAGATGGATAGATGGATGGACGGACGGATGCATGCATGGATGGATGGATGGATGGATGCACGAATGGATGGATGCATGGAAGGACGGACAGATGGACGGATGGATAGATGGATGGATGGATGGATGGATGGATGCATGGGTGGATGCATATATGGGTGGATGGATGCATGCATGGATGGATGCATGGATGGATGCATGCATGGATGGATGCATGCATGGACGGATGCATGCATGGACGGATGGATGGACGGACGGATGGATGGATGCATGGATGGATGCATGGACGGACGGACGGATGGATGCATGGATGGATGGATGGATGCATGAACGGACGGACGGATGCATGCATGGATGGATGGATGCATGGGTGGATGCATATATGGGTGGATGGATGCATGCATGGATGGATGCATGGATGGATGCATGCATGGATGGATGCATGCATGGACGGATGGATGGACGGACGGATGGATGCATGGATGGATGGATGGATGCATGAACGGACGGACGGATGCATGGATGGATGCATGGATGGATGGATGGATGCATGGATGGATGCATGAACGGACGGACGGATGCATGGATGGATGGATGGATGGATGGATGCATGGATGGATGCTCACCAAGGCTGCATTTAGTTGATCAAAAATAGTGAAAATAGTAATAGACATTATTACAATTTAATATAGGCTACCTGTTTCCTATTTTAATATCATTCTAAATCCCAAAAATTACCATGATGTATTAAAAACAAAAATTTAAGAAAAGTTTGACTAGTAATGTTTATATTTATTTTTTGCTGTAGATGCAATCAGTATGATATATTTTGAATATACTATATAATAGATTATATAATATACTATGTGATATAGGCCTACTTTAATATTCTACAAGTAGAAATCAGTCATTGTTTTGAGCCGGATGTTTTCAGATCAATTGATTAGAGAACTAGTATACTTGCATACAGATATTCATAATATACTACATAGAATGAATAGCCCATCATTGCAGATTATCAATCATGAAATATAATCACATAAAGCTTTGTTTACGCTCACATTTGGCGCTTGTTTGGTGACAGCCGAGTTTCTTTCCCCATCCATTGTGTCATGGAGTTCGGGATCCTTGCCACTATCTCTGACTTGCTTAGTTGGGATCTGACTGCATTGATACTATTTGATGAGAAGTGAAATGAGCTGGACAATGTTATAGATGAAATGAACTAATTTAATAATTGTTGATGATCTTTACATTAGAACTGAATCAATTCAGCTGAACAATGACACTTTTATATATTATTTTTGAGCTGTACAGGCAGAATGAACTCCGTTTGAATCATTGAATCATTTTCCTGTTATCACTGTAAAGCTGCTTTGAAACAATCTGTATTATACTGTAAATAAATAAAGATAACTTACTTGACTTGATATTTGCTGAAGGTCCATCAGCTACAACAGTACTAACCTGCATAAACCAGTCTGGAAATTCATGAAGGTCCAATGTGCACTGATTGAATTGAATGATCTCTTGAATGGTCTCTGTTCCCACAGGCTGTGGTCTGGAGTTTCTCCTGGTGCTGTGTGGTTTAGAGTTGACCCAGGGGTGTCCCGGTCACTGCATCTGCTACGACTCTCCCAGTACGGTGAGCTGCCAGGCGCACAACTTCCAGGTGGTTCCAGAAGGAATCCCGGCCCAGAGCGAGCGGGTCTTTCTGCAAAACAACAAGATCCAACGATTGCTACAGGGTCATTTCAGCCCAACCACCGTCATGCTTTGGCTCTACTCCAACAATATCTCATACATCCAGCCCTCCACATTCATGGGCTTCACCCGCCTGGAGGAGCTCGATCTGGGGGACAACAAACACCTCCACTCTTTGGCTTCTGATACTTTTCAGGGCCTGACCCGACTCCATGCTCTGCACCTCTACCACTGTGGCCTAATCACTCTTCCCGCTGGGTTATTTGAAGGACTGCACAACCTGCAGTACCTCTATTTACAGGTAGGGGTCATATTCTCATGTCTTTCAAACATTTGGAAAAATAGATCTGGGTCATTTTAAAAACTAGTGCCATTTATGTCCCTCTTATACAGTATGTAAGACTATAACTTTAACAAGGAATAGCTGATGTCAACATATGTGCAATAGGTACATTAACACATCAGGATTTAAAAGAATGCCTTTTTGACAAGTCACAACACAAGCTTCTCCTCGCTCTATACCTGCAAAGTAAACTTCAATATAAATGTTTAGAAATTCAGAAATTTCTAATTAAGCCATGTCAAAATTCTGAAGGCATAATACACTCTTAGAAGAAATGGTTTTATTTAGAACCAGAAATGGTTCCATCCCCCGCTTCATATATGGAACTCCAAAATGGTTCTATGTAGAACCATTTTTTTTTGGTAAAAGGTTCTATTGGCCAAGTATGGAACCTCAGGGTTCTATATAGAACCCAGAGGAACCCTTTTATTGAGTCTATAGAACCTTTTAGGGGTTCCAAATACGTAGCGCTGATAGAACCTTTTAAGGTTATATATAGAACCTTTTCTTCTAAGAGTGTATATGAAGAGTTCAGATGCAAAAGCCTCTAAGTGCCATTTGAAATTTTCTTCTAGAATTTTTATCAAGCTTGTATATTTAAGTTCAGTAATTTCACTTAAATGGCAATGATAATTACCTATTAATTGTTATTTAAGTGAAATTACTGAACTTAAAATACAAGTTTAATAAAAATCATCATTAAAGAAGAAAATTTCAAATGGCATTTAGAGGCTTTTGCATCTGAACTCTTCATATATATATATATATATATATATATATATATATATGAAGAGTATATATATATATATATATATATATATAGACACAATCGCTTTATATATATATATATATATATATATATATATATATATATATATATATATATATACTATATAAAGCGATCGTGTCTCTTCAGAAAATGTGGACTAAACCGCTCAATTCATATTACAATCTCTTTATGAAGTTTATAAATTGAAGCATCTAAATGGTAGTTTCGTAGCTTTCTATGGAGGGAAAGAAAGCTCTCAGATTTCATCAAAAAGATCATATTTTGTGTTCCGAAAATGAGTGAATGTCTTACAGGTTTGGAACGACATGAAGGTAAGTAATTAATGAAAGACTTTATCTTTAGACAAACTATTCCCTTAACACAAACACATTTGCCCCATAGAATCCTGAAAATAAGGAAAATGCCCTTGTGAAACTGGAAATGGCACCTTTTGGATAAAATTACTCATCTAGAGAGAATGGAGCAATAGAAATGAAATAGTTACAGCACCATTTAAGATTCCTATGTTTTCCCTCATATTAATTTGTCTGATGTTCTGAGTAAATATATCATATTTAGGTCCTCCTCAGCCAAATTGAGTGTGGATTTATAAGACGCTTCGCTTGGCACATTTGTGCTGACACTTTAAGAAATCTGACTGTATACAACCAGCTTTTGAGGAAGCAAAAATGCCCTCTTGAATGGATACTTTTTTATTGTCAGTGCTCCCGGTCTGAACCATTGCTTAGGAATCATCTGACTTGCCAAATAAATCCAGATAAGATCTGCTCAAAATGTTCAATATCAGCCTTGGCAGCAAAAAGTGCTGCACTAAAATGATGACCAAAGATAATATTTCGTTGTAATGAAAAGTCATACTCTTCAGGGGCAAAGACTATTACGGACACACAGCTCTTGGAATTTTATTTATGTTTAAGGTTAAATGTTTCCGACCTTTCATGAGGTTTCATAAGCATAACAAGGTTATTGGTATTTCGGTTAATATATCTGAACAAGATGAATTTCACATCTATTATTAAACTGGATGACCTAATTTTTTTTAAACAAATAGCAAATAGCAAGAATATATCAGACAACACTGTACAGTCCCTTCCACCTGAACATACAGTTCTTTACACTCGGCTTGTTTCGTCCCAGTTTCACAGTGTTTAGCCTCTCATATAGCTCAAAACCAGATAAAAAAAAAAGAGGCATACACATGAGGAAGAATTACTGTGAGGGGTTGTTTGGCATATGCAAATAACAATTAGATAAAAATTAATTCAAAACATGAATCACTCTCCAATTTTGCAAATTTATATTTACCTACAATACATTGTCCTAAAAACACAATGCATTGAAGGCACTTGAAGATTCACTCTTAGAAGAAAAGGTTCTATATAGAACCTTAAAAGGTTCTATCAGCGCTACGTATTTGGAACCCCTAACAGGTTCTATACACTCTTAAAAAAAGGGTTCCTCTGGGTTCTACATAGAACCTTAGAAGAAAAGGTTCTATATAGAACCTTAAAAGGTTCTATCAGCGCTACATATTTGGAACCCCTAAAAGGTTTCTATACACTCTTAAAAAAAAGGGTTCCTCTGGGTTCTACATAGAACCCTGGGGTTCCATACTTGGCCAATAGAACCTTTTACCCAAAAAAAAAAAAAAATGGTTCTATATAGAACCATTTTGGAGTTCCATATATGAAGCGGGGGATGGAACCATTTCTTCTAAGTGTGTACAGAAAAGCAAAATGAAAAGGGAAAATCTAATATATCCAATATAAAGGAGACATCTTTGAACTGCATTCATGAAGAGCAGTCGCATGATTCGATTTGGTGTTTTCCTCAAGATGATTTGTAGTTTTAATCTCATCAACATCATCTAAAATTTGATTGAGCTATTTTCGCGAACGGACTAAAACTAATGAATACGACATGAATTGACTAAATTTAACAGTACGTTTCATCAAAAGACGGAAACTGATTGCTTTGTATATCTGTGATTTGCTTTTTCTGACTCTCGCTGTTTATTTTGCCGTTCTGCAGAACAACCAGCTGGAGTTTCTCGAGGATGACATGTTCATTGATCTGCTGAATCTCAGCCATCTATTTCTGCATGGAAATCGGCTGTGGAGCCTCCACCAGAACACTTTCCGTGGCCTAGGGGCCCTCGATCGCTTGCTGCTGCATCAGAACCGGCTCCAGTGGGTTCACAAACAGGCTTTCCACGACCTGCGGCGCCTGACGACTCTCTACCTGTTCAACAACTCCTTACCCGAGCTGCCGGCCGAGAGCTTGACTCAGCTGCCGGCGCTCGAGTACCTGCGTCTCAACGACAACCCTTGGGAGTGCGACTGCAAGGCCGTGCCGCTCTGGGATTGGCTGCGGCGCTTCCGTGGCTCCACCTCCTCATTAATATGCACGGCTCCGCCGGAGCTGGCGGGAAAGGATCTGAAACGGCTGACGAAAGAAGAGCTGCCCTCGTGTACGGGCTCCGAGTCGCTCCACCAGAGCAAATCCAGCAGCCAGGGGGACGTGGGGGTGTCACTCAAGAAAGATCATCATCACCGGTCACACAATCATCAACATCATCCTCACCTGCCACATCAGGATCAATACTATCCCACCTCCCCGTCACCGCGACCGCCCAAGTCGGGACGCAACAGGAACTGCACGAGACACCGCAGCCGTAAGGGCAACGGTCCGAACGAGGTGTACAACCTGAAGGACTTAGCCAACGACAAATATGACCCGTCAAAGCCAAGACGTAAGAACAAGTGCATCCCACGGACTTCGGTGGGGCCCCCTAGTAATGTGCAAAGAACAAACAGCAGCAGGGCCACGTCCCTCTCGGCGCCTTATTTCATCATCCCTCTTTCCTTATTGGTGTGTCTCACTGCCCTTATTTTCCGCTGAGCCTGTGGAAGCCTGTACAAATGGTTTCACTGAAAAAAAAACAAATATAGCCCTCTGTCTACTCTGGCTCCAACACTTCAGTGTGCGAATGTGTGTGTGTTTGTGCGTGTGCGTGTACGTCAGCGAGCCCCTTTTGAGGGACAGAGGACTTACGGGCCAGGAATTAAACCAGAGATGTGAAGAAGACACTCTGGAGTTTGTGGGTGAGAGCGGGACACTAAATCACCATTCCCTGTTGCTGCTGTTTTACCAGGGCATATTCAGTAAAAAAAATTGTTAACTACATTCTGTTGCACATCACACCTCTGCAAAATAATTAGCAGCCCTTTTTGGTCAAGCGTGCCACCATCCAAATCCTCGTCCGGACCTTCGACCTACATAAACAGACCATTTACTCAAATGCACATGGAACTGCTGAGCTAATGTGTTAGCATCTCTGCGCTTTCTGAGGGAGGGTTGTCGTCAACACGTTTAGCACCTGACAAGATAAAAATGACAACCAAGCACAAAGATGAGGGATTGTTTTAGTTACAATGTTGTTTTTTTAACATATATACAAGAAAAATGGTTGCATTTGCAATATTCGCACATTAAAGCTGGTTCATACAATGCAGCCCCAACAAATGCTAACAGGGTTAGCACGCGCTACGCTAATCCAACAAAACCAAAAGTTTTTGTTTGTTGTCGCATGGTGAAATGGCATTCTACTCTTCTGATGCTGCTATGCTGGCATACTTTAAGGTCAGTGAGTTTATGAAGGATTATGGGATGGCTCTGGGTTTGTGTGTGTTGTTATTCGTTGATTGTGCCCTTAAGATAGTATTTTGCATAAAAACTGGAAGGAAAAAAAGTTAAGACATGAAAAGGTCAAGTGGAGCGCATGTGTTATCTGTTACTCAGCTGCAATAATGTGCTAACCTAAAAGAGAAACTACAACACTACATTAGCATATACACATGACGGTTCAAAATGTTTCACAAAGGGGGAAATAGAGCTGTGCAGAGGCTAACCTGGCTAATTCGCCATTGATTCCCTGAGGAAGTTCCTACGGGTTTCTGAAATAGCAGTTTTTGATTTAGATTGCTATGGAGGAGGGCAAACATGAAGACTTTCTTGACTAAATATATTAATAACACTCAGAAACGGAGCAGACGCAGTGCTAGCATCTCTCGCAGTGCTAGCGTAGCGGAACAGATGAAAATGGCCCTTTTGGGTTTTTAACAATAACGTGAAAAGACTTGTTCTCCGTCACACATGCAAGAAAATAATTGTTTTATTTTATAAATAAGTTCACTTTGTAAATACGTAGCTAAATAGGGACTACAACTAGGTACCACAAGAATGTGAATTTGCATGCTTGATGGGCCAAACAAATCACTGTAGTCCTTATGTAGCCACTTGTTAGCAAATAAGCGTTTGTTTAAAAAAAAAAAACTATGGTATTGAACAAAATGTGACAAATATAATGGTGACCACAGGCTTTATTTTACTCATAAATCAATAACAACCTTCTGAAAACCCATTAGAAACTCCAGAGGGAACACATGGCCCAAAAATGCCATTTCCCATTTAGGTTTTAAGAGTAGAAACTGAACAGTTTAAGAAAGCCAACGCAAGTTCTGAGGTAATAATCCAGATTAATCCTCGCAAGCCATAGAAAAACATGTCTGTCACTCACCATCTCTGACCTCTGCCGCTGTTAAGCCATTGAACTTGTCTGAATTGACGTCCTAAATCCCAGATATTAAACGTCAATGAAAAATCAAAGCGCCCCCTGTGGACAGATAGGGTAATAGCACTTTCACCACCTCTAACTCGTCCCCATTAAAGACTTTCTACCTTTATACAAAAGTGAACAGAAGTTATTATGAAATGTCCATTGTGAACATTTATACGTCACGTACTAACAAAAGACTGCGTATAACATTGTCGGGGGAAAAATTTTGTATTCATGTACTTTTTCTTTGTATGTTAACACCTTTCTCGTCTTCCTCATCTTTATCCCCCCCTTTTTCATGACTCAAACTTTCTGTCTGTTATGAAACACCACTCAAAATCTGTTTCTAAAGAACATTAAAGAGAAATGTGGTCTCATCGCTGATGGTTTTGGATTCTGCTTGAAGTAGTCTATATAAATCAGATGATGTTTAACCTGGGAAATGATCACACTGGAAACAGCTTTTCATTTCTGGAGCAAATGGCGTTACTGCAGAAACATAATAATTCACTTTAAATCACTTGGTTGATTTAAATTCGGAATATAAAAGGCAGACAAGATACAGCACTTTCTCAATTGCATGTATTTTACGTACTCTCACTCACAGTGGAAATAAAGCATAATTTCTTCAGGGACATGCAGGACATCTTTGAATAGACAGACGTGTTTTGTTGAATCCTGAGGGGGGATTCTGTTACAGAGACAGATAGTAAAGCCTTGTTTCAAACAGAACTGAAACAGAAAACTGACTGTGGAAAAATATGAGTTTATGCTAACGCCTGCTATAGCGCCCCCTATGGTTGGGGCCTGCAACTTAAACACTTCCACTGCATTCAGTTTCTCTTTCTCACACACACAAAGATGTGTACTATAACAGAAACATTACAGAACAGAGCGACACCGTCTCAGGCCAGAAAGTGGTTGACACAGAAGGTCAGGATGATTGTTAATGGAACTACTGAGGAAAAATGTCCTTTTTGTTCCCCGTCCACACCTGATGAAAATCTAAGAGATGATCTACTGTATGAGTTGGGATAAAATCGAGTTGTCATTCACAAAAGGAAGGACTTTTAAGCAAGATTACAGTACAGACAGAACCTGAACTACATGAAATATCAGCAGTCTAGTAATACAGTCTCAAAGCACACACAACTGATCTTATCTCTCAGTTATGCTTATGTTAAATATTAGTAAAACTTCAATTATTTGAATGAAAAGTCAGAAAACAGTAAATACTGACTGGAAGCACAGTTTGCTTGGAATTTCTGGATGACCTTCTACATTTTCCAATATGTGCAATATATAATGAGAATATAACACAGTGTGAGACTACCATGTCCCACAATGTAATGCGTTCAACTTGACCTTCCTTGACAAAAACTGGAGGCAAAATAATCTTTTTGTTTTTGGATACATTATTTTATCATTGAGATATTTTTACACAACACTGAATTAATAAGGAGTCGGACAAACAACAGTTTTTATTTATAACTGAACACCACTCCTTGCATCAAAGATGCAATATAGTATGGTCATGTGACAATATTAAAAATGGCTGCACACTGTTTTACATGCTACTAAAAATAAAAACAGTAAATGGAAGAATAGAAGGCAGTGGTTATGTTTGAAATGCATACTATTTGCTACCCCATACTACTAGCATACTGTCTACTCTTTTAAAGTTTGCAAAACACTAGGCATTATACTAGTGTGTGTGTATATATATATATATATATATATATATATATATATCAGTGTAATTTACAAAAGGCAAACTGTTCTTTAAACAATTTCAGATGATGAATAAGGGTCTTATCAAGCGAAACGATCGCTCATTTAAAAAAAAAACAAAGTTTAAGTTTTATAAGCTCAAATGCTCTCCTGTTCGAACTCGTTCATCAAAATCAACTAATTTTCGTTCATTTTGTTCGTTGAATGAACCTAATGACGTGATAAAAGATTCGTTCATTTTGATGAACGAATGGCATGCGCCATCTTCTGGCGAGATTTAGCGTGACCGTCACAGTGCATTGTGGGTATTCTTTTGCTGCGTTCCAGGCAGGTTTTTGAGCACGTAAATCACGACTTTGTCACGTTCCAGGCCGGTCACGCCAAAGCACAAGGAATCGTTTTGGTTGGTTTTGCGGGCTATGTGACGTCAGAGCTCGTAACTGGGAGTACATCGATCTAGAACGAGTTCACGGGTGGAAAGACACGGGTTTGACTGACGTTCCATGCACTTTTACGGGTATAAGGTTGGAACGCGGCATTAAGCCGTTGTGTTTACATCGGTTGCACGCTCGTTGATCGAATAAGTGCACGGACACCACTACAAATGGCTGTCCCCTCAAACAGTGTCATATTTCAGGGTATAGGTGGTGTTTTCAGATACAGTCAGCGCACTGTACAAAATATTGATGGTTTAACTTAAAAAAGTAAGTAACCTGGTTGCCTTAAAATTTTAAGTTCATTGAACTGGAAAAAGTGAGTTAATACAATGAAGGAGAATGATTTAATCATCAGAAACTCAAAATTCTATGTCATCTGAACTAAATAAATTATTTAAGTTGATTTGACAAAAGAAAAAATGTTGTGATTACTACACTGTAAAAAAATATTGTTGGTTTAACTTAAAAAAGTAAGTAACCTGGGTTGCCTTAATTAATTTAATCATCAGAAACTCAAAATAATAAGTTCTCAACTAAATAAATTATTATAAAGTTTATTTGACAAAAGAAAATATGTTGTGATAACAAATCTTAAAAAAAAAATCAACCATAATCAACCAAAATCACCACAACCATCCCAAAAACGGCAACACTGACTCAGCCAATGGCATGAGTTTGGGGGTGGGGCTATCTGATTGTCTGACCAATAGCACGTCAGGGAAAAAGTTAATGAAACTTTGATAACAGCAGTTCCATTAGTGGCATAGAAATCTTTAACTTTAGTTCAAATTAAAAGGCTCTTCATCTCGGCAGATTTGGATTGCTTATTCGCTATACACTCCAGCTTCTCGTTAAGGCAGCACAATGACGGTTTAATTAAATACAAGCATATTAAACAATCGCAGGAGGACAACGAATCGATGGAGTGTCCCACATGGAGCGCAAGGGGTGATGACACTTCAGAAATGAGTCTGGGAAGGAGAGGAGGCTGGGATGTAAAAATGGCTAGGTAAAGAAAAATGAAAGGGCTCTCTTGTTTCTTCCTGATCCCTCCTCCATCAGTCCCTGCCTCCCAGATCAATCATAAATCTAATGTCGCCTGTTCTCCTAAAGCTCTTACTTTCTATAATCCTTTTATCCTGGTTATTTACTAATTCAATAGTTCAAGGACACCTGGCAGCATGACAGGGCTTGACACGAGAAAAAAATGAAAATAAAAAACAGAAAAGAGGTGAGATGGGTGAGATAGCAGCACCTCTTACAGGTAGGGGACGGCAGTGCACAGCCACAGGCAAATATGATGAATTTACATCTTCACACGAAGTTAAAGAGTGTCATTTATTTGGGATCCAATGCTTTGGATAACGGTGGTGGCTCTTGGCTTACTCTGAACTGGGAATCGAACCAGAAACCATCAGGTTACAAGCCTGGAGCCAATTATTGTCATGCAATATTGGAAAACGCCAGCTAAGACTTCCCCGGAGAGAAATGTCACAAAATAAATATTTTAAATATCTCTTAATTGTTCTTCTGAGAAAAAAATCAAATCTAAACTTTTTCTTGAGTCGTATGTTTCATCAGTTTTCTTTTCACATTTCTCCTCGAGTGCTCAAAAATGTCCACGATAAACAGCAAAAATTACGCATCAAATCCTTCCAAGATTAATTTATTCAAGGCATTTGCTGCAGAAAATGTTTACAGACTAAAATGTACCGAATTTAAAATGATTGCCAATTCATTCAACAAATAATTTTATTTCATTGCTATGTAAAACAACAATAATAATAATAGCAAGCAAACATAAAAAGTTAAATTGTGCTGAATTTATCAGTTGCAATTCTTTTCGAACACAGATTATTTTAATTTATTGACAGACGTAATATAAAAAAGAGAAAAGGTCAGCAGAAAGTTTAGAAAAAGGTAAAAATAATGAGATTATAAGTAAATAATAGCAGTTGTGATCTTAAAAAGTGTTATTTAACTGCTTTTTAGCACACAAATTATTTTATTTTATTGACAGACGCCGATACAAAAAAGGAAAGGAAAGAAAAGAGAGAAAAGCATACTATTATCATTTCCAAGTTGGCAATCGAATGGACAGCCTTGCTTTATAGGGTTTCTAAAGCTACGAAAGAGCAACCTCTGAGTATCAAATTGTCCCGTGGGTGTATCTTAGTTAAATTATTTCAGTTTAGTGTCACTGATCTAATACATTTCTCACTCGAAGAGCACGGTATAGTGCTTTCATGTTTATAAGAGCACAGCCACGCTCTAAAGTGTCATCTAAAAGCCTTAGCGAGGAGCTCTTACCGAATTCCCAGCACTCTTTTCACTGACATGAGCTCAGTGACTCCAGACTTGAACATGTGACTCCAGAAGTTTTGATGTGATCCTCTCTTAGTACTTCTAAATCCACTGTGCTGTCAAGTCAAAGCTACACTTAACTCAGAGACCCAGAGAGAGAGAGAGAACGAGTGGAACAAAAGAACAAAGTCAAAACGAGAGCCCAAATCTCAGCTAGAGTCTTTATAAGACAATTGTGATGAGCACTGACGCAGAAATTCATCATATGCACGCCTCACAGACTGAGAAAATTACTAAGAGAGGTTACAAAACAAAAATACAAAAATAGTGGTTTTGTTCACCGTCAAGGAACCCAGCAATGTGTCTGTCCAGTGACTGTAACACAAAGTAACCCAAAAACAGAAATTCAACAGCTGAGAATAAACCCCATGCGTTCACACTTCATTGCTCCCCGCATCTCACTCAGAGAAACGTCTCTGGAAATTAATGAGAACGGAGACTAAAATAGTTTTGTTTGGATGGACTAATTTGCACCATAAGGGTTTACGGAAGAGCACAAATAACAAACGAAAGCCCAGAATATCATCAAATCAGTGTGCTAATTTTATTTATATTTATAGATAGCCATCCCAGTTAATAGGGCATTAATATTACTGGTAGAAAGGCATACAAAATATCCTCACAAATCACAAAAGAAACTGCTTACATCACATTAAACCAGGTGACCACTGACCACCATTTTGTCTGAGGCCGCAGCTCATTTGCATTTAAAGGGACACACATTAAAGGAGTAGTTCATTTTAAAAAAAAACTTTTGCTGATAATTTAATAATCCAATAATAATAATCCAAGATGTCCATGTCTTTCTTTCTTCAATCGAAAAGAAATTAAGGTTTTTGATGAAA